AGACCACGGAAGATTTCTGGCGCATGCTGTGGGAGAACAATTCGACTATCGTGGTGATGCTCACCAAGCTACGGGAGATGGGCCGGGTGAGCCAGGGGCCATGGCAGGGAGGGGCGAGGGCCCGGTCGTGGCTCCCACGGCGCTGACCGTGGCTGACGTCTCCGCAGGAGAAGTGTCACCAGTACTGGCCGGCCGAGCGCTCTGCCCGTTACCAGTACTTCGTGGTCGATCCGATGGCAGAATACAACATGCCTCAGTATATTCTGCGAGAGTTCAAGGTCACGGACGCCCGGGTGAGTGTGGGGACAGACGGGCGGGAGGGGCTGGAACCAGAGTACACCAGGCCGTTGCCTTAGTGATCTGGAGAGGGCTGCCCTGGCCGCTGCCGGATAGGGAGGCTGGGGTTCGGGAGGCGCATTAGAATCAGGAGCAAGGCCAGCTGACCAGTTGGCCACGTGCTCCTGCCACCACACAGGAGGGAGAGAGGGTCTTGTCCCCGTGCTGACCCTGTGGGAGCTACACTCTCTAGGGAGCATGGCCCCAAGGGATGACATTCAAGGAAACGAAAGGGGCTTTCCCCTGGAGGCAGCCACCTGCGAAGGATGAGACCCAATGGCTGAAAGGGGGAGGGAGAGTTGAAGGGCGGAGGGTGGTGGGTGGAGGGGGTAGACAGTCAGATGGGGGGGATCGGCACCGCCGGGTGAGATGAGAATGGACGGGCTTGGCCGGTAAAGGCTCAGTGGAGGTCAGCACCGTCAGGTGGAGGGAGAAAGGGAGATGTTAGGTGAGGTGGCTGAAAACTCATAGCGGAAGGTGGCCTCATGGCGACAGAGGATCAGAGTACGTGGTGGAAGATCGGGATGGTAGAGGATGGGGAACGGTAGCCGAGATGCCGCCGGCGGAGGGCGAAGGCGTCGGGCGCAGTGCCGCGAGCCATGCAAGAGGGTGCCTGGACGTGCGTGTGACAGGATGGAGTGTCCGTGGGAGGTGGTCGTTGGGGTCGGTGGAGGGCGAGGCTTTACAGGGGTGGATGGATGAAGATGGAACTAGAGAAGGGCAGAGGTTTGGCCAGCAGGGGAGGCCAGAAACAGGCAGGAGTCAGTGCTGTGAACCTTGAGGAAGGAGATTTGGAGAACGTGGACCATCAGGGAAAGATGGCACATGGGAGGGCAGACGGCGGCGGAGGATAGCAGTGTCGGATGCGCCATCTGAGGGTGGAGGATGTGGTGGGAACGAGGCAGATGGTGGGGAACGCGTGTCGGCGGAGATGGTGCACTTGGGTGGCGGATGCTGGGAAACAGCACCATTGACCTGTGAAGGATGGAAGATGGCAGAGAGTGATGTGATTGGATGGCACCGGTGGGTGGTGGGAAGAGAGACTGGAAGGAGGGCGAGGAGAGAGGAGGAAGACCCTCAGGGGAAGACGCCGTCACTGAGTGGTGAAGGAGGAGGCACCAGGGCGGCATGGGGGTAGATGAGGAAGGTGATGCCGTCAGATGGAAAGGTGATGAGTTACCAGTGGTAGACGGTGGAACGTGTCCCCATCGGAGGGCAGAGGATGAGTAACGGCTTTCGGTTCTAGAAGAGAGTGTCGGATCATTTTGGGTGGTGAAAAATGAGCTACCATTGGTGGACGGCAGGAGATGATGGTGTGACAGGAGATGAGTGAGCAGCGGTGGGTGGCAGAAATGGCACCGTTACTGGACGGCGGAGGACGGGGGATGAAGGCACTGTCGGGCTGTGGACAGTGCCGGAGCTCAGTGGTGCTGAAGAGCTGTGACATGCTGCTGAGCGGGAAATGACAGGATCGCCGTGGCGGGTAGGAGGAGGGAAGGGCAGAGCCGGGTGCGCTGTGGTATGGAAGGATGGAGGATGCTGGTGCAGGACGGGATGTGGCTGGTGGGACTGGAGATGTGGGGAGAGGAACAGCTCGGTGGTGGGCAGTGGTGACAGTGAGCGGGGCGTGTTTCTGTGGAAAGCAGGGCAGTTGGACTGAGGAGGATGGTAAGCTGTCGGGGTGAAGGAGTGCCTGAGAGGGTGCAAAACAGGAGTGAGGGCGGGGCGGGTGGCGCACACCTGTAACCCCAGCTACTCGGGAGGCTGAGGCAGGAGAATCCCTTGAACCCAGGAGGCGGAGGTTGCAGTGAGCCAACATGGCACCGTGGCACTTCAGCCTGAGTAACAAGAGCGAAACTCCATCTCAAAAAAATAGTAGGGGTGAGCGGCCAGACACGGTGGCTCTCGCCTGTCATCCCAGCACTTTGGGAGTCCAAGGCGTGCAGATCACGAGGCTCAGGAGATCGAGACCAGCCTGGCCAACAGGGTGAAACCCCGTCACTACTAAAAATACAAAAATCAGCCGGGCGTGGTGGCGGGCGCCTGTAACCCCAGCTACGCGGGAGGCTGAGGCAGGAGAATCGCTTGAATCTGGGAGGCGGAGGTGGCAGTGAGCCGAGATCGCGCCACCGCACTCCAGCCTGGCAGCAGAGTGAGACACCATCTAATTTAAAAAAAAAAAAAGAGGCCGGGCGCGGTGGCTCAAGCCTGTAATCCCAGCACTTTGGGAGGCCGAGGCGGGTGGATCACGAGGTCAAGAGATCGAGACCATCCTGGTCAACACGGTGAAACCCCGTCTCTACTAAAACTACAAAAAATTAGCTGGGCATGGTGGCGCGTGCCTGTAATCCCAGCTACTCAGGAGGCTGAGGCAGGAGAATTGCCTGAACCCAGGAGGCGGAGGTTGCGGTGAGCCGAGATCGCGCCATTGCACTCCAGCCTGGGTAACAAGAGCGAAACAACTCCGTCTCAAAAAAAAAAAAAAAAAAAAATGGGGTGAGGATGAGGAGGCTGGAGAAAAACCCCCATGGCCACTGATAGCAGGACCGGGCTTTCTGCACTCCAGGACGGCCAGTCGCGGACCGTCCGGCAGTTCCAGTTCACAGACTGGCCAGAACAGGGTGTGCCAAAGTCAGGGGAGGGCTTCATCGACTTCATCGGCCAAGTGCACAAGACCAAGGAGCAGTTCGGCCAGGACGGCCCCATCTCTGTCCACTGCAGGTGAGCGCCCTCCAGTGCCCGGAGGCCTGGGGTGCGGGGGACAGCCCTAAGCTTGGGCTGTTCGAGTCCCTGGGGGAGTCGGGTGGACAGATCAGGGCTCCCCTGCGCCCGCCCTGAACGGCTGTGCCCACTCCACCCCCACCAGCGCCGGCGTGGGCAGGACGGGCGTCTTCATCACGCTGAGCATCGTGCTGGAGCGGATGCGGTACGAAGGCGTGGTGGACATCTTTCAGACGGTGAAGATGCTGCGAACCCAGCGGCCGGCCATGGTGCAGACGGAGGTAACGACGGGACGTTGGGGGGGGGCGGGGGGCGGCCCGGCCTCACCCCCCTGCCGCCCTGAGCCTCAGCCGCCTCCTCTGAGATGGTTGCAGCCACCTGGGACTCTCTGGGACTCTCAGCCGCCACAGACACCTGTTGCCCCAGAAGGGGACGAGGGACCGTTTTAAGGCAACGGTCGGCTGAAGGTCTGAGCGGGGAAGTGGCCCTTGGAGGGGACAGAGATGGGTTCGTTGCAGTCCCAGAGTCACTGCAAGTTGGTGGCTCAGCCTGGACCCTGCCTGGAACCACTCACCCTGTCCAGCCACTGTATAGATGGGGACACTGAGGGCCAGACTCCTGGCTCCAAGGAGAATGTTCCAGTGGAGGGGTATGAGAGGGCATGGCGACTCACGCCTGTTATCCCAGCACTTTGGGAGGCCGAAGTGGGAGGATCACTTGAGCCCATCCTGGGCAACACAGTGAGACCCCATCTCTACCAAAAAAAAAAAAAAGTAAAAATGAGGCCAGGCACGGTGGCTCAACCTGTAATCCCAGCACTTTGGGAGGCAGGTGGATCACCTGAGGTCAGGAGTTCAAGACCAGCCTGGCCAACATGGCAAAACCCCATCACTACTAAAAATACAAAAGTTATCTGGGCGTGGTGGTGGGCACCTGTAATCCCGGCTACTTGGGAGGCTGAGGCAGGAGAATCGCTTGAACCCGGGAGGCGGAGGTTGCGGTGAGTCGCAGTCTTCACCACTGCACTCCAGCCTGGGTGACAGAGTGAGACTCCATCTCAAAGAAATAAAAATGCAAAGATGACTAGAGCCTCCAGGCAGACGGGGCACTCCAGATGGAGAGCCTGGCTGTGGATGGCAGGAAGGTGTGGCATTGCCCAGTTCATTTGGGGAGGACCCTGGGGGCCAAAGAGACCTTCTGCAAGAGACATGCACCAGTCTAAGGAGCTTGGCCTACTCCTGAGAGCACTAGGGAGCCCTGGGAGGTGTTAGAGCAGGGGAGGCGCTGACGGTTCCCCTCTGCTCCCCCAGGACGAGTACCAGTTCTGTTACCAGGCGGCACTGGAGTACCTCGGAAGCTTTGACCACTATGCAACCTAAAGCCATGGTCCCCCCGGCCCGACACCACCGGTCCCGGATGGCCCCAATGCCTCTGCCCCTCCGGGGCGGACCTCCTGAGGCCTGGAACCCCAGTGGGCAGGGCAGGAGGCGGCGGCACAGCGGTAGCCCTGCACCGTTTCTGGGGAGGACGACGCAGCTCTTCCAGCCCCCCACTGGTCCCAGGCCCCCGCCTTCCAATACTTGGCACATTCCTCCTTTCCTTCCAATTCCAAAACCAGATTCCGGGGTGGTGGGGTGGGGGGATGGTGAGCAAATAGGAGTGCTCCCCAGAACCAGAGGAGGGGGGCGCAGACTGACCCCTCGCCTCCCACCCCCGCCCTGCCCTGCCCGTGGTAGTGGGGGGACCCGGGAGGCTCCTCCCTGCCCTGCAGCCTGGGGACACTGGGCTGGGACCAGAATCCAGCTTCCTTTTAGAATTCTCAGTGTAACTGTATCCCGTGACATTTCCTCTTTTTTTTTTTAATAGTGTATTTTTCTTTCCTTTTTTTTTTTTTTTTTTTGTGGACCAGCCTGGACAACATAGCAAAACTCCACCACTATTTTTTTTTTTTTTTTTAAAGAAACAAAAGACTTGACAGTCAACGACTTTCAAAGAGAACAACTTCAGCTTATTCATATTCTATTCAAAGACGGTCTATTTTTTCACTGTAGACAACGTCCTTGTGTGATGGTTACGTTCGCAAATGTGCGTGGCGGGCCCGTGTCTTAGCTTGCTTGAATCTTCCCCACCATCAGAAAGTGTGCTTTGCTCACAGAAGAATGGGATGTCCTGTTTTCTTTCTGGCTTCCCCCCGCCTTTTTGTTTCATTTTTATAAATTAAATTTTCAGACATATCAAATACAGTTCTGAGGGTAGGGTCATGGGGGAACTCGGACCCAGTGGTGTTGGGTTCGAACCCGCGGGGTAGGGTTGAGGGGGACGCTGCTGTAAGAGGAGTGAGATGACGGTGCTCCCCCCCGCCCCCGCAGCCTGAGCTGTCTGCCACCCCCTAGGAGACGGGGAGGATCCTACTTCTTTGGGGACAGTGGCTGTATCCTGCATTACATCAGGGACCCTTTCCCCCGGACTGTGGGGCAGTTTGGGAGCAAAACCAGAAGGACGGGACCCCCTCCACCCATCCCCCCGAGCAAGCAAGTTGTTCCTCTTTGTACAAGGGCAGATCTGCGGTTCCTTTCCACACTGTTTATTCCAGCAGAAGCAGCCGGGTGGTTTTCCCACCCCCGCGTATGTAGATAAATCGACTTTGTATTAAAGGAAGATCGTCCGACCCGGCTCATTGTGGAGTCTTTGTTGTGCCCCTGCCTGTGGAGTCTCGCCCCTGGGGCAGGCCAGTGGGTAGGTGGGGCCTAGAAAGCGGATCTCCCTTCATGGTGTCACGTGTCAGAGGAGTTGGCCCAGAGAGGTGCTGTTGCCTAAGGTCACACAGCAATGAAGTGGCCAGGCCAAGATTTGAACCCAGAACCCAAGCCCTGGCCCGGTAGGGGCTGCCTTGCGTTCTTACTCTAATAAGAGACCATGATTGAGAATTTACCATGGGCCAGTCACTCTGAGATAGAAGTTATCAGCCTCTTGACCAGGTGCGGTGGCTCACACCTGCCATCCCAGCACTTCGGGAGGCCAAGGCAGATGGATCACCTGAGGTCGGGAGTTCGAGACCAGCCCAGCCAACACGGTGAAACCCCATCTGTACTGAAAACACAAGCATTAGCTACATGTGGCTATAATCCCAGCTACTCGGGAGGCTGGGGAAGGAGAATCCCTTGAACCCCAGAGGCCGAGGTTGCAGCGAGCTGAGATCACAGCCTGGGCCAAAGACTGAGACTCCATGTAAAAAGAAAAAAAAGTTGTCAGCCCCACTCATTAGGAAACTGAGTCTCAGTGAGGGGCACACAGTGAATATGAGGTGGCGCTGGGACTCGTACCCCACCCTGTCTCACCTGCAACCCTGAACATAGCACTGTGCCGCCTTCTCCACGCACCGTGGGGAGGAACTGAGTCCATGGAGGGAAGCAGCAGGTTAGAGACACTCTTCTCCATCCTCTAGGCCACCCAGTGAGCGGACCCATGCACTGAGCCAGTCACATCCCTGGGGACAGAGGGTGAACCATTGTGTATCTGTACCCTTGCCCAAGTCACTTACAGCCCTGACACGCCACCCACAGGTGGACGAAAGATCCACCTGGATCAGAAGGGGTGATCTTAGTGAGACCAGGGACCCAGCTCAGGGAAGAAGAGGGCTATGTCTCTTAGAAACCAACAGATAAAGTAGTCACAGCAGTACAGATGTGAGCCGCACCACTAATAAACTTAGCCAATAGATTTAAGAAACCCTGGTATCCCCTCCCCCCAACATTCTCAAACAAACAGGGAAAATTTGTGAAAACGGCACAGATTTTCGCAAATTCCAAGAAACAAATATTAGATAAGGTATCCTGATCTTGGCTCAGAAGAGGAATTAGCCTCCCCTGGAAAAGGGGAGAAATTTTAAAACACATTTTTTTGGGGAGGCGGAAGGGGGACAGAGTCTCGTTCTGTCCCCCAGGCTGGAGTGCAGTGGTGTGACCTCAGCTCACTGCAACCTCTGCCTCCCAGGTTCAAGTGATTCTCCTGCCTCGACCTCCTGAGTAGATGAGACTAGAGGTACCCACCACCACATCCAGCAAATTTTTTATTTTTTTTGTTTTTAGTAGAGACGGGTTCACCATGTCGGCCAGGCTGGTCTTGAACTCCTGACCTCAAGTGATTCACCCACCTCGGCCTCCCAAAGTGTTGGGATTACAGGTGTCAGCCACCATGTCTGGCCTTAAAACACATTTCTAAATGAAACATGTTAAATCAGTGTAAGCCGGGCACAGTGGCTCATGCCTATAATCCTAGCACTTTGGGGAGAAGATAGGGAGACGCTGCCTCTGGGGAAAAAAAAAATCAATTTGAAAGTTAAAGTTTTTCAAGTTGAACAACAATTCACATAGTACATTATGGGATGTATAACCTGTGGGATGCAGCCAATGCTATGTTCAGAGAAAAATTCATAGCCTTGAACACATTTACTCTAATTTTTATTTTGAGGAAGGACTAGCTCACTTTGTTGCTTAGGCTGGTCTTGAACTCCTGGCTTTAAAAGGTCTTCCTACCTCAGCCTCCCAAAGTGCTGGAATTACAGGCATCAGCCACTGTGCCTGGCCTAACACACTTTAAAGAAAATCAGATGATTTTTTAAATAAGTCAACTTTTAAAGTTAATGAACCCAGTTTTCAATTGAAATCACTAGAAAATAAAAAAATAAGTGAAGATAAAAATGGAAGTATTTTTTTTGGAGACGGAGTTTTGCTCTTGCTGCCCAGGCTGGAGTGCAATGGCGCGATATTGGCTCACTGCAGTCTCCGCCTCCCAGGTACAAGCGATTCTCCTGTCTCAGCCTCCCAAAGCTCACATGCCAGGAATGCACCCAGCTATTTTTTTTTTTTTTTTTTTTTTTAGTAGAGACAGAGTTTCACCATGTTAGGCTGTTGGTAAACTCCTGACCTCAGGTGATCCACCTGCCTCTGTCTCCCTAAACGCTGGGATTACAGGCATGCAACACCACACCCAGCCTGGAAATCACTCTTAATTGGGCATTTTGATGTGGTTCTTTTGCACTTACAAAATCAAAAACCTTTCCTTTGAAAACTCCAAAAACTTTAGGCAAAGGTAATAAAAAAGAGAAAGTACAAATAATATCAGAAAAATGGGGATAGAAGGCATTAGAGATGAAGTTTTGTTTTGTTTTTTGGGGTTCTTTTTGAGATGGAGTTTTGCTCTTGTTACCCAGGCTGGGGTGCAGTGGTACAAACTTGGCTCACGGCAACCTCCGCCTCCCGAGTTCAAGTGATTCTCCTGCCTCAGCCTCCTGAGTAGCTAGGATTAACAGGCATCCCCCACCATGTCCGGCTAAGTTTTTGTATTTTTAGTAGAGACGGGGTTTCTCCATGTTGGTAGGCTGGCCTTGAACTCCCAATCTCAAGTGATCCACCTGCCTCAGCCTCCCAAAGTGCTGGGATTACAGGTGTGAGCCGCCTCTACTAAAAATAGAAAATTAGCTGGATGTGGTGGCTCATGCCTGTAATCCCAAGCTGCTCAGGAGGCTGACGCAGGAGAATCACTTGAACCCAGGAGGCAGAGGTTGTGGGGTGCCAACTTTGTACCATTGCACTCCAGCCTAGGCAATAAGAGTGAAGCCCCATCTAAAAAATAAATAAATAAATTTGAGGCTCAGCCAGGTGCGATGGCTCACGCCTGTAATCCGAGCACTTTGGGAGGCCAAGGCAGGCAGATCACCAGAGGTCAGGAGTTCGAGACCAGCCTGGCCAATGTGGTAAAACCCCATCTCTACTAAAAATACAAAAATTAGCCAGGTGTGGTGGCAGGCACCTGTAATCCCAGCTACTCGGGAGGCTGAGGCAGGAGAATCAGTTGAACCCAGGAGGTGGAGGTTGCAGAGAGACAAGATCGTGCCAGTGTACTGCAGCCTGGGTGACAGAGTGAGACTCCATCTCAAAAAAAAAAAAAAAAAGTTGAGACTGAAAAAGAGGTCAAGTCTCATCCAAGATCAAAAAGACGGGAGGGACGGGCGCGGTGGCTCAAGCCTGTAATCCCAGCACTTTGGGAGGCCGAGGCCGGTGGATCACGAGGTCAAGAGATGGAGACCATCCTGGTCAACATGATGAAACCCCGTCTCTACTAAAAATACAAAACATTAGCTGGGCATGGTGGCGCATGCCTGTAATCCCAGCTACTCAGGAGGCCGAGGCAGGAGAATTGCCTGAACCCAGAAGGCGGAGGTTGCGGTGAGCCGAGATCGCGCCATTGCACTCCAGCCTGGGTAACAAGGACGAAACTCCGTCTCAAAAAAATAAAAAAAGACAGGAGGTGGTGGAGCCTGTACTTGGGGCCCAGGTCTGCCTGTCTCCTTCCGCCTCAGCAAGGGGGAGGTCAAGGCATCTCTGAGCACTGCCTGATTAAGGTCAACACTGGTCATACTCGGGCGCAATGGCTCAGCCTGTAATCCCAGCACTTTGGGAGACTGAGGCGGGCAGATCATGAGGTCAGGGGTTCGAGACCAGCCTGACAAACATGGTGAAACCCCATCTCTACTTAAAAATACAAACATTAGCCGGGCGTGATGGCGCACACCTGTAATCGCAGCTACTTGGGAGGCTGAGGCAGGAGAATCACTTGAACCCAGGAGATGGAGGTTGCGGTGAGCAGAGAGCGCAACATTGCACTCCAGCCTGGGCACAGAGCGAAACTCCGTTACAAAAAAAAGAACAGGCCGGGCGCGGTGGCTCACGCCTGTAATCCCAGCACTTTGGGAGGCCGAGGCGGGTGGATCACGAGGTCAAGAGATCGAGACCATCCTGGTCAACACGGTGAAACCCCGTCTCTACTAAAAGTACAAAAAATTAGCTGGGCATGGTGGTGCGTGCCTGTAATCCCAGCTACTCAGGAGGCTGAGGCAGGAGAATTGCCTGAACCCAGGAGGCGGAGG